CCAGCCCGGGCAGGAAAGACCGTGAGACTCTGATCTCCAATAAACCACCAGAAAACCGGAAGTGGAGCTGTGGCTCCTGGCTGGAGCTGAAGAGCTCAGGGAAGAGTCTAGGCCCCGAGTTGAAGCCCCATGACCAACAAAGAACAAAAAAATGTTGTTATAGAGGTGATGCACGGGGGCGGTCACTGTTTCGTAAGTCAGGTAAGGAGTACTTTTTTTTCCTACTCGGTCGTGGGGCTTGAACTCAGGGTCTGGGCGCTGTCCCTCAGGTCTTTTGCCCAAAGCTAGTTCTCTACCTCACACGTTGAGCCACAGCTCCACTGCTGGTTTTCTGGTGGTTCATTGGAGATAAGAATCTCACGGACTTTGGGCTGGCTTTGAACCACAAGCCTCAGATCTCAACCTCCTGAGTAGCTAGGAGTATGCATACTAACTAGGCAAGCACTCAACCACTGAGCCACATTCCAATCCAACCCATAAAGAGCTCTTACACATGTAAATGGACAAGAATGTTGTCCAAACAAAGAACTCGTCTAGAAACTAATTTTCCTTTTTCCTCTTTTTGTTTGGAAGCTGGCCATACATTTTTCAGATCTATCGCGATTGGGGGGTGGGGGCAGGCTCATGGCAGAGATTCCTGCTTGCCACCTCTCCTCCTCACCAGGTTTAGAAAGGCTGGGAAGAATGGTGAAGCAAGCTTGTATTCTCAGGAGGCTGAGAGCTGAGAATCTTAGTTCAAAACCAGCCTGGATAGACTGTTCAGAGAGACTCTTATCTCCAACTAACCAGCAAAAAGCCAGCCCTGGAGATACTGCTCAAGTAAGATATTGAATGTCAGCCTTGAATGAAAAATGCTAAGAAAGTGCACAAAGGGGATGGGAATGTGGCTTAGTGGTAGAGTGCTTGCCTAGCATGCTTGAAGCCCTGGGTTCGATTCCTTAGTACCACGTAAACAGAAAAAGCTGGAAAGTGGTGCTTTGGCCCAAGTAGTAGAGTGCTAGCCTTGAGCCCAGAGAGGCTCAGGGACAGAGCCCAGGCCCTGAGTTCAAGCCCCAGGACCAGCAAAAAAAAAAGAAAGAAAAAGTGCAAAGACCCTGAGTTCAAGCCATGCTACTAGCATAAAAAAGTAGAAGTGTGGGTTGTATTGACTAAGCCCATTGGTTTGAGGCCAGTTTGTTTGCCCTGTGTGTACTGGGTAAGGATTTTAAACATAGCTTGTTTGCAGGGAATCATGACAAGTAGACATAAGTGAAAGCTGGGAAACCCATTCACTGGACAACCCAATTCTACTGTCTTTCTAGTCCTAGATTCTATTCTAGGGTGCTGAACTTAGGACCTCAAACATAGCCTTTTACTTTTCTAGGCCAGCCTGGACAACACATTAAGACCCTGTTTCTAAGCCAGGCACCAGTAGCTCACGCCTGTAATCGTAGCTACTCAGGATGCTGAGATCTGAGGATCGTGGTTCAAAGCCAGCCCAGACAGGAAAGTCCGTGAGGCTTTTTTTTTTCTTTTTTACGTGAGACTCTTTTCTCCAGTAAACCATTCAGAAAACTGGAAGTGGTACTGTGGCTCAAGTGGTAGAATACTAGGCTTGAGCTGAAGAGGTGAGGGACAGCGCCCAGGCCCAGAGTTCAAGCCCACAACCGACCAAAAAAAAAAAAGACCCTGTTTCTTGGGCTGGGAATGTGGCTTAGTGGTAGCATGCAAGAAGCCCACATAAACAACAACAAAAAGTGTCCCTGTGGCTCAAAAGTGGTAGAGTGCTAGCCTTGAGCAAAAGCTCAGGGTCAGTGTGTAGGTCCTGAGTTCAAGCCCCAGGACTGGGGTGGAAAAAAGCCAATAATGGAGCTTGAATTGGAACTCACATTCTTGATTTGCTTTTCTATTCAAGGTTGGCATTCTACCACTTCAGCTACAACTCTTCTGGAAGAGTCTCACTTTTCTGGCCAAGCTAGATTCACTCTGCAATCCTTGCTGGGCATTGGTGGCTCATGTAATCCTAGCTACTCAGGAGGCTGAGCTCTGAGGATTGTGGTTTGAAGACACTCCAGGCAGTAAAATATATGAGACTCTTATTTCCATTTAACCACCAGAAAACCAGAAATGGTTGAGCTATGGCTCAAAATGGGAGAGCACTAACCTTCAGCAAAAGGGTTCAGAGACAGCAATTAAGCTGAGAGTTCAAGCCTGACAAAAAATAAAATTAAAAATAAGAATTAGAAAAAACCCTGCAGTCCTCAGATCTCAGCTTCCCAGTTAGCTAGGATTACAGGCTTGAGCCACTGGACCCCAGCCCAGCCCTCTTTTATAATGGTGGATGGAACCCAGAATGTCATATATGAAGTGTTGTAACTAACCGTGTCCCCATAACCACTTTTGATTCATAAAAATATCTTGTGCAGCAACTTTTCTCTATCCTATCATCAGAGGATAGGACCCTCTGGCCATAAATAAACCCAGAGTAGTGTCCCTATGAATCGGAGTAATCCCTTTCTTTTGCAGTTGGGGTAACTGGTTGGGCAGGCTGTGGCAGTCTGCTTACAGTACAAGCGCCACAGGAAAAGTGCTGGTCACAACTGCCAGCATGACAGAAAATAGGAGGAACGAAAGCTCTCTGCAGCTCTGTGCTGTTTCAGTACTGCAAATCCAGTGTTTCTGGATTTTACCTCATTGGCCAGGGAAGTTCCAGTCAGTATCCTTCTGACCATGTTTCTGGGGACAGCAAGGGCAGGATCATGAGTAATTCTCCTTAATCTTACTCCCTGAAGGGCTCCACCCATGATAATCCTCCCTACCTGGGCATGAGGCATGCCTGAACTTGGTGAGTGAGTGGGAGTGTCTTCATATTGCTGTCCAGGGGTGCAGAGAGAGGAGGCTCCACGACTGACGCCGAATGAAGCAATAGGAGAACAGACAGGTGCAACTTGAGTGGAGGAGGAGGTAGGTTCCTGTGCTGGTGGGAAGTAGGTGAAGATGGCGAACCCAAGCTGGGAAATAGGGGGCAGCACTGCAGGCACAGAGTGAGCAGAACAAAGGGCTCTGGTATAGTCAGGTACCAGTGGCTCAGAGCTGTCATTCTAGCTATGTAGGAGGCTGAGATCTGAGGAGACTAGTTCAAAGTCAGCCTGGGCAGGAAAGTCTGTGAGATTTTTTTGATCTCCAATTAGCAAAAAGCCAGGAGTGGAGGCTTGGTTCAAGTGGTAGAATGCCAACCTTGAGCAAAAAAGCCAAGTGAGATCTCAATACGTGTGAGGCCTCAGTGCTGGTACAAATAAAAAGAACCAGACAGTAGCTTAGTGGCTAAAATTTTTTTTTAAATGCACGTGAATTCACACATTTTAATAATGTATACAAACAAAATGCAATGCTCTACTTAAATAAGAATTCATCTGGGTCTTGCTGTATGATACAAAACTCTTCCATGGGAGTTTGGTGATTCTGAGGCCAGCAGCTCTTCTCACACGTGTAGACCAGAACTGTGCCAAACTCTACACAAAGACCTGGAAAACACAACAGATTCTGGGTTCAGGCAAAGAGAAACTTAGTAGACACTCAAGATAAAGGTACAATATGTGAAAGTTTACTTAGTGGTTTGAGTACTGATTTGAGAGCAGAGGGCCTGGGTTCAAGTCCCAGTTCTACCACTGGGAGGGACAAAGCCAGTACTTTACCATGATGGTAGGTAAGACCATGGTAAAGGGAACTAAGTTAACGCACATAGGAAATACTTAGCACTCTGAGTGTTCATTGGAAGATAAGGCAGTAGGAACAAGGAGAAAGATGGCTCAGTAGAGGAAACTAATGTGGGTAACTAAAGAAGCTGAAAAAAATGACAAAGTAAAAATCATTGATGCTAAGCACCGGTGCCTCATCCATTGACTCTTAGTGACTCAGGAAGCTGACTGAGATCTAAGGGGTGAGGTTTTGAAGCCATCCCAAGCAGAAAAGCCCGTGAGATTACACCAAAAAGCCAGAAGTAGAGATGT